GCGATTATACGGAAAAGTACCTCTTACTCTGCCGCTGCTCCCGGCAGGAGCTAACCCCCAAGATCCTCATCACGATCCCCACTTTACAGCTGAAACGGAGGTCTTCTGGAAATTCAAGTTCACAGATCTGGAAATAGCCGGCAGGGGTGAGCCTCGGTGAGGTGGCGCGTGGTCCTTCATGGGACACTTACCAAGTGCCCAAGCACTGACCAAGCTTCCTGAGGGTCTGAGCATTAACTAACTTCTTCCAAATATGTTCGCATTGGCCCCAGAATTAAAATAGCAATTAATCCTGGGTGAGGGGGAGTAGGGGTAGGGAGGGGGCAGGGAACCGTTAGAATCTCATGCCTCTTTAACTGTAAATGATCCAGGATCCAAGGAGTCGCTAGCTCAGGGTCCCCCGCCCCCCCCCCAACATCAGGGTAACCCCACCTTTCCCATAAAGACTTTAGGGCCTCCTTGTGGTCCCACAGCCCCAAGGGGGCCTACTGTTAAGAATATACATGATATGAGTTGTGAATACTCTAGCAAGCAAACTACTAAAAAAGAAAAAGCAAGCAAACTTGACCAATGGTTACCACGGGCGAAGCCGGAAGAGGTGCTGCTTGGGGGCACTGAGATGATGTTAGTGGTGGCGGGATAATTTGGAAAAGGCGATAGTGGCCGTGCAACAGGAAGAGTATAATCGATGGCACTGAATGATACCTGTAGACGCTGTGGAATTGGAGAACGGTTTGGTGTGTATATTTTTTTGCCACCATTTAAAATAATATTTACATGGATAACAATGAGTACACGGAAGAAGACAATGTTCTAGAATTGACTGGTGACAATTGTACAGCCCTTCTTCATATGATTGAATTATTGAATTTATGACATGTGGATAAGTGCCAATAAAACTGTTTAAAAAAATCGACGTGAACAGTTAAACGCATGTGACCTGTGGAAAGCTAAATCTTGGGCTTTTCACATCACAGCGTCACCACTGACTGATGAGAGGCATGAACATCCTTCTTAACCTCGGCCTGCCTTGGGCTGCCTCATCCTCCTAGACAGGAACTGTGAACCCATGAATTGTTGCGAAAACTAGACGAGCTCTCTTCCAGTTCCCTGGGAAACACACGGGGAGCAGAGCCCTGCACCCAGGAGGTTCTCTGGAACGTGGGTGGTGCCACCTGTCAGAGGGTCAGGGCAGCCAAGTTGAACTCCGTGCCTTATCAGCAAACAGCAGCTGATCCTCTGGAGTGGGGAGAGCTCCCCACGGCTGCCTCCCATGGAGACTAGGAGGCAGGCCATGTGCCCCTACACCCATCAGCCACTGCCAGCGGGTTGCCCCAAGGCTGCTCCCTGCTGCCATAGGCAACCCTAGGAAGAAGGATTGTAGTGCAACCCTGCCCTGCGG